TTTGCCTTCTAGTTGATAGATTTTGTTTTCCAAAAATCCAAAGAATAAGATACCACTGAGGAGATTATGATAAGTGCTTCAATAAGAAACATCAGGAGATCAGGAGACAAGAGTTCCTAGTGTGTAGGGTAGAGGGGGGACACGAAATGCAAGGAGTAATCATGATAATTAAGAGACAAACATATCCTCAGGGACTTGAAGAAGATTACTCTGATCCTGAAGGAGAGAGGTAGTGGAAGGTAGGTGATGCAAGTGAGGTGTGGAGGAGACTCAAGAAACAGGACCTGGCTACAAAAACAAAGGCCCAGATAGTTATTTGGGGTCCAAATAATTTGGGCCTTCTTACTTTCCAAGTAGAGGTTCTTGGGACAAGGACCTGCTTTGTTAGATGAACACCAAAATTATTCCCAAACAGCTTCTTTGGGGGCTCTGCCACACATAGAAGGGATGACTTTCCACCTCTTAGCAGAATAAGATCTTGTAACAAGAAATTACCTTGAGTGACATCAGCAAGGTGGCAGGACAGGGAGCCCCAGGGCCCCGATACCCCATGGAGACACCAAAAGAACAACAATAATATATGGATGAAATTGTCTCTGTGAGACCTCCAGAAACCAGTTAAGAAGCTGCAGAACCTCAGGTGAGCATAAAGTCAAGACGCATCAAAATAGGTAAGACAATGTGTGGTGTTTTACCCACCTTAGCCACTCCCTGCCCCTGGCCCTGTGGTGCGATGATGGGGAAAGAACTCCCGACTTTCAGCTTCCTTCTCAGGACAGAGAGAAGAGTGGAGCACAAGTTAGCACGCTGGCTTTTCAAGGGGCTGCTGGAAGCATTTGTTTCTTTCTTGCCTGTATCCGTGCGCTGATGGGACCAGCATAGTTTGGATGTGAGGGTGAGGGTCACTGGGAACAAAGGCAAGCACCGTGGCTTATGACCACACCAGAGAGACTAGTACCTCAGACGGACACCAGGGGAGGAGAGGATGCACTGCAGAGAAGAAGCAGGCAAGCCTCTAACTGGGAGGTTGACA